GTACTTTTGACGGGAACTGAGTGCCAACTGATGATCTTACCATTGTAATTTTCAATAATCACCAATGCAATCTTCAAGTTACATTGCATATGCCTTATGACTTGGGTGAAGAACTTGTTTGTAGTAGTTGCTGCAATTAAAGCTTATTTGTGTGCTATAATTGCAGATAAAAGACGCTTACATACTCAACTTTTTCGAGGATAATTCAAGTCGCTTGCCAAAATGGTGCAACAGCGAAGACACTGTGAAGTTGCCATATTGTCAGATTAAAGGGAAGTATAGAATGGAACTGCCTGGATACAACAGCGTGCAACCATATCCTCATATGAATGAACGGTGCCCTTCGCTGCCTCCAAAGTACCTTAGACCAGAGAACTGTTAGATGCTCCCAATTCTTTCCTCCTCCCTTGGGGTTGATTGATTGCTTCATCAGATCATTGTTCCTCTAGAATTTTTGGACAGTGTAGAGTTTGGATCTTGGACATCTTTGTCTTCTGTTCTTTTCTCATCAATTTCAAAGAGATAGACAGAGAATATATAGAACTCACTTAAGTGGTGGGGTCTATTTGAATGTGTGGAACTCATTTGTGTGATGGGTTCTATATAGTTATGTCTATTTCATTTTGAAACTGAGAGTGGGATAAAAAGAATAGAGAGGATCCAAGGTCTAGTTTATATGCATGATTTTAGAAAAAATGCAAATTTAGTTGAACAATATATTTTATCAAATCATGCACGTCATTCGATTTATCGTTGTAGCTACATTAAACATGATGTAAATAGATGGGATGTGAAAACTTGTATCATATGAAACCCATATTTCATGTATTGACTCTTCATATTTCCGTTCGAGCATTCCAGCTTTGGTAGCCATTGAGCGAAGCCCAGAAATATTTCTCGCCATGATAGCTTGTGAACACATTTACTGATTTTAATTTTTTTTTTGACCTGCAAAAGTTAATCATCGTTCAATTAGTTCCTTTTTTGTTTTTTTTAATACAAATGATCACTGTTGGATTCTTGTACAATTCGCGTCAACTTGTTGAACATCGGAACTTATATTCATACGACGAAACTAAACCTCAACACTTGGGAAGACATACTTATGATCATCAGAGAATCAAAGTCAACCTGTGATTAGCACAGATGTTTACATCAGTGCTAAGAAATGAAATTGAAATCAAAATCAATCGTCTTATATTCCACGCAACCTCAATGATATATTAAGAGGAAAATGGAGACGAGAATCTCCTTAAAGGGTATCAGCTCTCGTGTAGAAAATCCTTAAAGAACATACCACAGACAAGCAGAACCATATCAGATCCATTATCATGGGACTCACGTCTAAAATTGCTTATGCGTATTTCATATAGGACCTGCCTATGGATCTAAACTCAAGTAATAATGGTCATGGTCTAGCCAAGTGAGTGAACAACTAATAAGTTACTTTATACGTGTAAGGACAAGTAAGCAAACAACAATCTCAAGTTCCACACCGATGCCAACAATAATGCAAATACTGTTATGTAGATCACAGAAAGAGGAGCTAGTTATTCGGCTTGGCAGGGAGATGGTTGCCGCCAGTTGCCAGTTTGAACAGATAAAACCCAGTCATGAGAGCACTGCAATTAAAAAAAAAAAAAAAAAAAAAAAAAACAACAACAACAACAAATTGTATTAGCTTAGAAATGACGTTAAGTAGCAAAGAAGTCTATATGTCGTTTTCCTATCAGAAAACACACTATATCGATCACGAATATCTAAAGGCATTCACTTAAATCTTGTTCAACAACATAACACCATACAATTTCAACTATGAACCAGTGATGTGAATTGTCACTCGCCTCAACACCTAAGGCTGAGTTATTTGTGCTCCATGAATCATGACTACCTGTGAGCAAACTGTTCCTAGAAGCTTAGCATCAAATGGAGCATGAGCTTGTGCCCAAAGTTGTTTAATTTTACATACGAGAAACCAAAAAGTCTGAGTGCAAGAATGCTAGCTTATAAATATCAACTAGAGAAACTGATTACATAATCAACAAGAAGTTCTGAAATGACGATAAGACTTCAACTCAGCAAGGTTTTACAGAGGCTTAGCATTGACTGAAGCTGTAGAAATCAACACTATAGCCCAACCTTTTTTTTTTCAAAAAAAAAACTACTCATTTCCATTCTCTCCTCTTTCTCCTTGTGCAAATCCACATATGAAAATAGAATTTCTCATAATGTTGCGACACTTTCACAAATTTACTCTGACAAGAAAGTAAAAATAACCTGATATTCTCAACTAACATGGTATTGATTGGTGCTGGGACGGGCATTGCCTTAATATATAGACGTGAAGATTAAAAATTAAGGTGGTGGATATTAAGCTATAATTAGCTTACCTTATCCCTGCAACAAGACCAGCAGGCATGAACTTTGAAGTTTGCAGGTAACGCTGTCCCATGACCCAAGTGAGTATAGCTGCGCAAACTGTTATTCATAACAAAAAAGCTAATTAGAAAGTGTATGAAGATGACAACCACAATTATAGAGACATCACTACAATGGATCGAAAGTTATGATAGATTCTTCCATCCCATTCCATTTTCACTTTCCTCTTTGCTTCCCACTTCCTCTACCAAGCATACCATAAATTGTGATCCGTCATGAATGTCTTCGATCACAAATGACATGATCTAAGAATCACAAACCCTGACACCTACGCGAGACACGACAAAGAACAGAAAAGGACAAAATATAATTTGAAGCGTAGCGTTGGATATAAGCGTCAGATATATATGACTTATGAGCGATTTTCAAATATAGTTTTTTCAACACCAGATGAAGCTGCGCTCTTATCGTTGCCAAAGATGCATCACAAAACATCTTTAAAAAAAAATCATTAAATCACAGTTAAAGTATCTCGAGATAGTGACAGAAAAAGACAAATAAACAAGAATTACATCGAACTCAATGCTATCTTTAACCAACGCTCTGTCTCTGTTATTCATTCAAGCACTTAACGAGTCCCTTTGCTAACTATCCATTTACCACCATATTAATTTAGATCCTCTTGGAGGCTAGAAGCTTTTAAACCTTCATGGCATTTAGTAGAAACACAAAACAGGGTAAAATTGACCCTAAGTACACGGATGAAGAGAACTTCATTCAGAGACAGAATTAAGAACCAGAACCAAGTCAATCACTGAACTGGAATCAAAATAAGCATTTCTTAAAAACAACCGTACCCGTCTCAAGAATCAAAGCAAAGTACGAGTTCTTTCTCTTTTCAAAGGCTTTGAGACTCAGATAACCAGCGATGATGAGCAACAAACCAGTACCTACGCCTCCACCCAGAGAAGCAATGCTTCCCTTTCTGAAATATCCGAAGAGTCCTCCACCCACCAAGAGCAACCCATACGGAATCGTGAAGCAGAAATCGTGCATTTTCTTCGGATGGGATTTTCCTGGCACAATCAGATTCTCCAAATCGGACAGAATGAGACTATGGAGTTTCGTTCCCAGATCAAATAATCAAAATCTGTAATTTCGTCAACTGTGGACCAAGTGGCGTGTGGAGTACCACGGGTCAAATTGCATTCCAAGTTTACCCCTGGACTATCGTCTAATCTCGATATTGTCCTCAGCCAACGCCTCGTCCGGTTCAATCCAATTGCTAATTCTAATTATTTAGAAAAATTACTGAAAAGTTTGTTACAAAATTTATTATTCTTATCTAAGAATTTAAATAATATAATTCATATTGTATATGGACATTCATCATGTTAAAAAGACCTTTTAAATTCAAAATTTTATTACGTTATAGCATAGAAAAATCTTCATGGAGCTGAAAGTTAACTTAACACAAATGATAACATATTTATTGATTTATTAAAAAATAACATTTACCTGAAAAAGTCTTAATTACGTGCCACCTTGCTTGGGGAGTTTATCTTCGCCTCCAAGTATCCTTTTCCCTAACTTGGAAGCATTCCAAAGTATTCTAATCAAACAAATATGATGTTTGAAAAGTTCATATTTCACCCATTTATTTTGTCAAAGTCATTTTTTTGTACAGTTCATATGTTTGAAAAAATGTCAAAATATTCAAAATTTAAATTAAAAATTTCAATTCAAACTTGAAGCATGAAGAACATTGCAAAAAGAAAAAAATTAAAAGAAGATTCTAAACGAATATCATATTCAAGGTTAATGTAAGTTTTGATCCTAAAATTTAGATCTATTTTGATTTTGATCTTTTAAATTTTAATCATGTAGTTTTAGTCTTTCAAATTTAGTCCATCTTAAAATGTCATTTCTTAAAAATATAACGATGCTAAAATTTTCTGAAGTGTCATGAATAATGTTAAAATGATGATATAGACTCATTAGATAATGTTTAGATGAATTTTGTGTAGATAACATACTACACAAAGGGAATGTGTTCTTAGAAAACAACATAGTGAATAGCTCCTCAAATGAATAACGAGAAAAAGAAGCGACTAAACAATTACATTTTGAAGACATATTCTTTTTTTCCCCCCTTTATATTATCTACAAAAGATCCAATCAAGTGCGATATGATGAGTTTACATTATCATTTTAACATCATGGTATTTTAGCATATTTTAATACTACTACACTTCTAAAAACTAATATTTTAAAATAGATTAAATTTTAAAAACTAAAATCATGTATTTTAAATTTGAGAGATTAAAATTAAAATAAATCTAAATTTCAAGAATCAAAAATAGGATTAAACCAACGGTTTATTTAAAATGACATGGCCTTCTCCCATGACGGTAAGGATCTCTACAAAAGGGACCACCGTTGCGTTCTACAGATTCTGATTATGTGGCGCGACATGGACGTTCGATCTCCTTGACGGGTAAGATTTTTTTTTAGGCCAAAGGACGGCTAAGATTAAAAACATCCCAAACTGTGAGATTTCGGACCCGGCGCCGGGATGCTCAGGCAGGCGCTTCCGTACGCGCTGTTTTCTTCCCAGGTAATGGCGTATCCGAACATCCTGATCCGATCTAATACCCGGTTCTCTTTCGCCCTCTTCAATGCTGCACACCAAACGAAACCCCTCCTTCTTCTTCGAACCCTAATCATGTCGATATCGCCGGCCAAATCCAAGAGACCCATCTGCCCATCATGTTCTAAACCCACCCGAACATGCCTGTGCTCTCGGATTCTGACCTCCGGCATCGACAATTCGGTAAGCGTAACCATTCTGCAACACTCGCTAGAGAGCAAGCACCCTCTTAACTCTACTAGGATTGCCAGACTAGGTCTCAGGAATCTCAATGTAGTGACTGTTTCAGATGTTAATTTCGAAGCTCGGTTCTTGATTCGGTTGATGAAAACTGATTCTGAATCGGGTTTGGTTGGAAATGGTTCGGATAGTTTGACTTTTCATCAAGCTTCGGAAATTAAAGGCACAGAGAATTCAGTGGATGAACATGCTAGTTCGTCCGATTCCAAGAAAGAAAGTGAACCTGGAAGGTTACCCTTACTAAATAGTGGTGGAAAATGCAATTTGCAAAATGATACTGGGGCTATGAAAAGCTCTCTACTTTGTACTGTGAGTGTAAATTATGGGTTTGATTCAAAGTCATGTGTCAATGATTGTGCAGAGAAGCATGATAATGCTGAGATAGATCAAAATACTGGAGATTCTGCTATTACTGTAGTTATTGGGAAACATGGTGTTATTAATTATCTGTCTCATATGTGGAGGTCTCCAACTCAACCCAAAAAGCCAAGCTTTATCAACATACTCTCTTTTCCGGAAGCTTGTGAATCACTCAAAAAAGGGTTCATGGTGAAGAAGTTGCGGAGGAAGTTAGAGGGAAGCAGTAATCTGCAAGATGATGAAGAATGTGAATTTGAACTTGAAGTTCCTCCTGGATCAGTACTACTATTTCCTTCCGAAACAGCTGTGGATATCACTGACCTTGATGCTATTGATTTTGAGATAAAGAATTTGATTGTCTTAGATGGAACATGGGCTAAGGCAAAAAGAGTTTACAGTGAAAATCCCTGGCTGAACATTTTGCCCCATATAAAGCTGAAGGTGAACAAGATGAGCTTGTATAATGAAGTAAGGCGTGAGCCTAAAGATGGCTACTTGTCCACCATTGAGAGCATTGTCCATGTCTTGAAGGCATTGGGGGAGAATCATGAGGGCCTGGAAAATCTTTTGGATGCTTTTGAATCCATGGTTGGATATCAAAGGCGGTTTAAAGAGGAGAGGCTCACCAAACGATCCTAAGTTTGAAACCTACCTTTCTCAGAGGCACGCAGATATACGAGACAAGCAAAATATACTGTCCTGATTCACGTTCAAGTGGCATGCAGTATTCAATGACTGTTCTGTCAAGCACATCATCCACTTGGCGAATTCTGCTCCCTTTTTGAGATAATGGTGCTTCATTCATACCTTTCTTCTTCACTTGATCTGACAACTTGGTGTAAGCAACGCCAGTAATGGATTGAGAAACTTTATGGCAGTAAGATAATAACCATGAAATTCTGCATAATTTGGGTACCTAGTTTCTGTATCAACAACTTTAATATTATTCTCATACTGGCATGAATGTGGGACAGCACATTACGTGAAGATGGATATGACATTGCAAAATATATCATTTTTCAGTGTGATTTATATCTCATGGTGTCTAATATGTAAGATATATACAGCTCCTTGGGTTTCGTTTGAAGAACTTCTTTCCTACCTCAGTGCTCACTTGTTTGATTCATTTTTTAGCGCTGATTTACAGGAGGGAACCAAGATTGGAAAACCCAATCTGGGCATCTCAGCCTTCCTCAATCCTTTATTCCTGTGCTTTTGCTGTTTGATTATTGGGTCTGGTTCTTGTTCAAACTTAATGACAACCATGGAATGGGTAGTGCCATAGTTGTCTTTCTTAAACCAATGATACTCATTGTTTGTTTTTGTTTGGTTCTTTCTGTTATGTTTCAGCTCCCCGTTTTCAGTTGGTTTTCCAGGTTCTTCATCTCCAGCGAATTACTTTCTTAGGCCGAGGCATTGCAAGTTGAAGTCTCACGGAGTTCCTGGCTGGCAAGAAAAAATAATGTGAAATTTGCTTAAAGACTGAGTGCAATTTTTTTTTTTTTTTGAGTTGTCTAAAATTTACCTATAATTATATATAAAAGACATGGAATTAATAATACATAAATTGCACACCTTCAAAAAGACTAGACTCTTAAATATTTTAATAAATTTTTTTTCAGCTAACAATAGAAGGTTTTTCAACAATTTTTTCTGAAAATTTTTGGAAGTATTTTTTTGGAGTAATTTTGACTTTTTTTAAAAAAAAAATTTTTAAAGTCTGAGCCTCTCAGAGTCATGTACACTCAGCTGCTTTCAGCAGTGCGGTTAGTCTCCGATTAGTGAAGCTCAGAGTCCGGGTGCAGTGTCATCGAAGTTGAGTTCGCCGCCACGCACCGTCACCGGCGACCGAAGGAGCTCCTTCCGCCCCCTGATGCCAAATGCTGAGGCTCTTGTCATTCTCAAGCCATCGTTTAGTTCCGACATCTTCAAACCTTCGTCTCCGTCGTTTTCTGAGTCAATCCATTGACGAGGATGACATTTATGACCCGCCGTTTTCTCCTGTTCCGAAATCTGCAAGCCCAAAGACGTCCAAGAGCAAAACCTCGAAGGAAGCTCTGAGTACTACCGAAGAGCCTAAGTTCCCTTTGAAATCGGGCCTTCCATTCGATTTCAAATACTCTTACTCCGAGATTGACGACTCCGTTAAACCCATAAGTTTCCGAGAATCGCCCAAGTTCTCTCCATTTGGACCTGGCCGGCTCGACCGCAAATGGACAGGGACTTCTGCGCCGGTTCCGGAGGAATTGGACCGGCGGAGTTGGGAGGAGGAGCGGAATCGGGTTCTTGGAGATCCGCTTTCGGAGGAAGAGGTGGCTGAGCTCATCGAACTTTATCGTCACAGTGATTGTGCTAGGCAGATTAATCTAGGTATGTTTTGGCAAATTTTATGCATGAAGTTGAGTGCGCTTTTGTGATACGAGTATGCAAATGCTTGGGGCCTTGGGCAAAGATACCCTTAAATTAAACAGATTGATAGATAATCCCATTTTTTTATATATAGAAGTCAGAATTCAGTGGAATTGAATCCCGTTGGCTGCTTATTTGGGTGGCATATAGTACAGAGCTATTAATTAATTTTAATATTTCTTGTCAACTTTGCTTTTGGCATAAGAAATATGAACATTGGACTTCCACCCGGCAATATCATAAATTTTGGATGTCAATTTGTAATTTGAATAGTTATGTACCTTCAAGACTCATATTTGTATGTATTACATAGCTTTTGACCAAATCAGTGTGGATGGATTGTCTAGCTATAGATAGATGAATTCTTAGGTTTTAGTGAATCCTGGCGGCAAGAAGCTGATGCTCTTTTGTGTTAGGGAAGGGGGGAGTCACTCACAACATGTTGGATGACATCCATAACCATTGGAAAAGGGCTGAAGCTGTGAGAATTAAGTGTTTGGGTGTGCCAACTCTTGACATGGACAATGTTTGCTTCCACCTTGAGGTCAATACACACACCCACACAATATCTGTTGATTTATCAGTGAAAGCATTGATCTTTTTTCTGGAGTTTCCGAAGACTTATACTAATGCATATATATTGCTGTATGTACAGGACAAGTCTGGTGGAAAAATCATTTATCGTCACATAAACATTCTGCTTTTATACAGAGGACGAAATTATGATCCCCAGAATCGCCCAGTAATTCCTCTTATGTTATGGAAGCCCTACGCTCCAATTTATCCAAGGCTTGTGAAGAAAGTAATTGAGGGTTTGGCATATGAAGAAATGAAAGAAATGAGAAACAGGGGTTTAAACTCACCACCTTTGATGAAACTCAGTGAGTGAAGAATATGGTTATTATAAACAATAAACTTACAAAATATAATGCTTTGATTTTTCTAGTACATTTCAAAGTAGCACTGGCCCCTATCATATTCTGAAATCTAAATGCTAAGTTGTTCATTTCTATTCTCAGCAAGAAATGGAGTTTATGTTTATGTGGTGGATAAAGTGAGGGAAGCATTCAAGACTGAGGAGGTTTTGAGACTCGACTGTACTCATGTAGGTGCAAGTGACTGCAAAAAGATTGGAGTGAAGCTTAGAGTATGTCTTCTGAGTCATTAAATTTTAAGTTTCGGCCCTTAGCATGAAATCATTATGTGCATAGGTATCCAACTTTATGCTTGTTATTGCAGGATCTTGTGCCATGTGTTCCTATCCTGTTCAAGGATGAGCAGATTATCCTTTGGAGAGGAAATGTAAATTAGATACTACTCAGAGTTCAGATCCAGAGTGGAGTATTGCAGTGTTCGCAAGATGGGTAGCTTCTGTCCACTGACTCCTTTTTACTCTGAGCAGGCTCTGGTAGGAGAACATCAACCTGATTGTAATGCACAGATATGCGACCATTTCTCTTGTATCATGAGTGTAGCTTATAATGAGTTTGCCAGTCAACTTTTTGGATTTTTGGAACTAAAAATTAAGGGAAAAGGATTCAGATGTAGCTTTTGGATATTCTTTATCGGGTTCATTTATAGGATTGTAACATGAAGGAGTTTCTAAAGAATCAATAACATGATGTGGAGTTGTGAAAAATGTTTCTGATCTTTGTCATACTTATCAATGATGCTGAGAGAAAATAATTATAATGCTGATGATAAGTATTAAGCTTATTATGTTGTAGATGTCCATTTTGTAATACTCCCTCCTATATGAATTAAACTTTATATTAAGGATTGGAGATGGTACATATTTTAACAGCTGAATTAATACTCAACCCTTTTTGACAATGTATGAATGCGATGGATAATTGTTTATATGCAAGCACCACGTTACCTCTATCCCATGCCACAAGGGTTTACTTGCGCTAATTTGGTGTCATTCTTTGTTCCAAGCATTAGTGTAATACTCCCTCCGGTTCAAAATATAAGCTAAACTTCATTGGAAGGGCTTAGTTTCTTTTATAAGATAACATTTACTTTTATCTAAACATTTAATGAGTTTTTTTTAATTTTATTCATACATATTCTTTTTCCTTTTTGATTCATTTATTGTATTTTTTACTTATTCTCTTCATTAATAAGGGTATATTGGGGGGGGGAATATATGCCTTGCATATTTATTGTTTTAAACTTATTTTAATTAGTTTCTTGACAAATGTAAACGAATAAAGTTTAATTTATATTTTGAACTGGATGGAGTATTTAATTAGTAAAAATGCCAGAATTCAAATCAGTAATTAAATATTTGATTTTAAAAAAAGATGAAATTCAGAGCTTCTAGTGATCTTATATTGTTAAATATTCTTGTTTAGTACGGCTTGTGTCGTTATTGTTAACATTTTATGTTATTGTATGTTTTGGCAATCCTTATGTGTGATCATGTAAATTTATACTTTGAAATCCAAAGTTGCTTTCAAATATTATGAGGCAGATGTTTGAGCCAAAAAAAAAAAATTATGAGGCAGATGTATGATTCTCGAAAGTTTTGGATTGGCCAATTATCCAAATAGCACCTGCGGAGCACTTACACAATTAGTAGAAGTTTCAAAATCACCTTTGTAATTTGGGGCATTGTTTTCTTTCGAGCCTTTGGGTTATGATCAATAGAAAAATTAAATTTTCACTGCGTTTAATAATAATTTACTTTTTAAATTTTCACATTTGTAACTTCTCTATAGATAAAACTTTATAGAACTTCTCTTGTAATTTTCATCCTTCTCTTTTCATAAATTACGGCGTAATTATTTATTGCGGCGTTTTGATGTTTAAACTTTAAACTCATGCTTTTCAGTACCATTATAGCCTTCGTACGTGCAAAAAATCAAGGCGCGCTTTCAAAAATTGTGCACAAGAAAAGTCAAACATGGAATGCTTAATATATTTATTTATATTTATTTTACTAATGAAGATGGATTAACCAATTACAAGTGGAGTATTGGACATTCTACAAGTGGAGGGAAGTTCAATACCAATATTAAAGGAGTACCCGGGTATAAAATACTTCTCCGGTTCTAACCCAATTGTTAAGTTGGTTTTGATCCTAAATATAAAATCTATTTCTCATATTTATCAATTTTTTCTAAATTACCTCTATGGATACTCCCTCAATTATAATCAAGTAGAAGAGAAAGAAGGGGTATTAAGGAAAATAATTATGGTATCTTAGAAAAAACGTGTCATATTTCTTATAATTAACTAACTTACCTAACTTCCTTAATCTAATCAAATTAGTTAAATGGGTCTTATATTAATAATCAGAGGAATACATAAGTTATAATCTATACGTGCAGCATAAAAGTTATAATCTATACATACCGCATAATGTTAAAGTTGATACTTTTTTGGTCCTTAATATAAGACACATTTAACTAATTTGATTAGATTAAGGAAGTTAGGTAAGTTAGTTAATTATAAGAAATGTAACACGTTTTTTTTAAAATACTATAACCATCTTTCTTAATACATTTTCTTCCTCTTCTACTTGATTATGGTTAAAGTATCCATAGGAGTAATTTAGAAAAAATTGATAAATATGATAAATAGATTTTATATTTAGAACTAAAACCAACTCAACAATTGGGTCTTATATTAAGAACTAAAATTTTGTAGTCCAAATGGTTGATAAAATTTTTTTTTAAGGTATCTATTTATAAGTAAGAAATTATTAATTCACCAACTGTGAGGATCAACGACCACGTGGTTAAAAGCCAAGCGCTCTACCACTGAGTTAAGTCGGCTCGTAATTATTATAATTATATAATACTACCTCCTGTCTTAATTATAAGACCCAATTAATTTATTTGAGGAGATTAAAGAAGTAAATTAAGTTAGTTATTTGTAATAAATAAGTGTTGTCATTCCTAAAATATCCTTGCTAATTAAGTGTATTGGCTAGAATTATCATTATTAGAATGACTATCTTGGAAAAAAATGTATAAATATAAGAGACAAAATGGATTGGGGTCTTATAATTAGGACCAAATAAAAAGTCAAACGGGGTCTTATATTAAGGACCGGAGGTAGTACAATTATATAATTGTAGTTATACAAATAAAAGCATAAATTAATTTTTCAAAAGACTTTTAAAATATCTAATTAGATAAAAAAAAAACTATTAATTTGCTAACCTTGGCGACCGAACTCACAACCACTGATTAAAAGCCACGCACTCTACCACTAAACTAAGTTGGCTTATGATCATTACAGTTATACAATAAATTATATAATTATAGTAATACAAATAATAACATAAATGAATTTTTAAAAAGACTTTTAAGATATCCAATTATAGATAGGAAATCATTGATTCGCCGACGACCATATGGTCAAAAGCCATGCGCCCTACCACTGAGCCAAGGCGGCTTGTCATAATCGTAGTTATATCACTATAGTTATGCAAATAAAAACATGAAAAAGAAAAGTTAAGAAAATGAAAAGATGGTGAATGTACAATAGTGACGTTGTTTGATTTTAATTGGGTTTTAAATCTTGTTACATTGTTCTTTTAACTTTCCTAGTATTAGAAATAAAAGATGCAAACAATTTTGATAAAAGCCATTGCTATTAATAGTTTAAAAGAGGAGGGGTTAAAAAAAGAAAAAACGGAAATAAAGAAACTAAGTAACAAAACTGAGAAGAAAAGAAAGCAAAGTATAAAATAGGATGGCAAAAAACACTTTAAAACAAAACAGCAGTCGGTATAATAAAGGAAGAAAACGTAAACCTGATTATTATCTTATAAAAGCTAATATCATTTTAATCATCTAATAATATTAAAAGTTAATTTGATTTTGATGCCACAAATGTTGTTAATTAAATTAATAATAAATTTTTTTAAAAAAATGTAATTTAAATTTAAATTTAACCAAATCACTGAATTAATTTATTACTATATTTATCATGAATATAAATATATTTATTGTTTATCCAATACCCACCAGTGAATAATTTTAGATTTACTTTGAAATATTTAAATAAAATATAATTATTTTTTATTTTAGAGGCAACAAAGGAAATGCTTAAATTTTTACTTCGTCGACTATGTATGAAATAATTTATCTAATCTAACTGACCTATCTAAATTCAGCTTTATATTGAACTGCTCGGTTTGAGCTTTGACAGAAGGAGGGATTTTAAGAAGTTTCTTTAAAAAAAAAGAGAGAGAGAAATGAAATGTTGAAGTTTTTAATTAACTTTCCTTACCTTTTTATTTTACTTTTTTTTAATTAAAACTTACAATCCAACTTCTCCATTTTTTAAAAATCAAAATTATTAAAATCTCCTCCCTTCCAACGTCCTTGAACCAAACAAACCCTAAAATAAAAGAACAAAACATCATGCTCAATTATCACTAAAAATTTATATGAATTTAATCATTTACATGTAGTAAAACCATTTTGATTCCAAAAATCTCTATTATTATCTTTTTGAAGACATTTTTTAAATAAGTTAAAAGAAAGTTAAATTTAAGATAAAATATAATTGACAAGAATTCAAATTTATTTTAAATATAACTTAATTTGTAAATTAACTATTCTTTTGTTTTGATCCCTTTTTCTTTTTTGCAATTGCGTGTTATTCTAAATTTCTAACAGGGAATACACACGAACATTTGCGACTACAGAAGCAACAAGTGTTTGCTTAAACAGAGACCAATTCTTAATGTTGGGCGAATGCAAACAAAACCATTAATTACATGAGACTACTAACCAGGCCTCGAGTAAATACAAGCATGACCATGCAGCAAAGTACTGTGATCCCTTAACTTACTAAACTGAAGAACAGAAACCTAACACATTCCAGGAGCTATAGCTAGTGGCAAGAAGGTATACATTTTTGTTTCATCATCTATCTCTTTAGTTGAGGGATGCCGAACGCAGGCGTTTGATTTTAAGGGGTCATAAGTATATTTCTGAGCTCATGACTCTTTTGTTCGACACATCCTGAGCTAACCAAAGAGGTCATCCAGGTTTCATCAGATTTTACTGGCTCATCATAATCATTCCTGTGCCAACTCCAGAAGGCATGAGTGGAATTTACTATCTTAAGCTCACCATGACCAAAACTGGCTTCCCGGAACTCCGACCACTCTGGTTGCGGGTTGATATACCTGTCAGTGAACAATGATTAGTGACTAAGCTTCACTGTGCATGCTTCAGGAGACCCCCCCCAAAAAAAAAAACCATAGGGATATTGCAGATCACTCAGATGTCGAATGAGACAAAATAAAACGAGATTGATCAGTGTAATAAGTTCACTTCCCCTCCCCAAGTTAATTCGTAGAATTTCCCTTGGAAAAAGGGGCTATGTGGGGTAACTAATTCAGAAAAACACAATCAGAATAATACAACTTATTTCAGGAGCCACAAGGTTTGGCTTATATACACTGTAGCTATCTGTTCTTCCTATATCAATATAAAGATTTATGGGAAAACAACAGAAGAATTCTCAGGCTCCTCTGCCTTAGCAGCCCTATTGTGCACTTGAGTTGGACAATTGTTAAATAAATTTAAAAGCAGAATTCGAAGTTCAATAAGATTGGAAACGGAATACAATAGAATCCTCATTGGCCTAACTCAACAGACTGGGTGGACTTCCGGATAAGCATATTTAAGGCAGAAATCATGTTGGTGATTAAGAAATGACGACAGGATGAGCTTAACAAACAACGATAACTTACTTAGACGCTAAACCTTCTCTGTTTCCTCCATCACCAATAGTTATATGAACAGCACCACATGGGTCTGATCTTCCATTATTGACACGTTTCTGTCAGCAGGATAAAGAACTAATTAAAATCCTGAATAACATGAAATCGTAAGGACGAAAAAGAAAATGTTAGACATAAGCATACCGAGCGTTCATAAGCATGTACATGACCAGCAAGAACTAAATCAACATTAGCAGCATAAAGTAATGGCTCCATAACTGCCATCATATCATTCCCTTCACCCCTATGGGCTGTATTACTGTTATACCATGGCACATGAAATAACACGATCAGCCAAGGCGTCCTTTTCCTGTCAACCTTTGATAGATCCATCTGCAGATAAATAACAAGATTATTAGGGGATTGAAGTTGAGACGGGACATGTCTTTTATGCATGAAGCAGGGGATAAGATAATATTAACCCTGTTCTCATGAAAGCTATGATATGCAAACCCCAGGAAAATAGATAACTCCTGACCATCATGAGTGGGAGATGTATTATGACTTTTTTTTTTTTGGGGGGAAAACTGATGAAAATCACCATTGAATAAAATTTCTAACATTTTGCAAAGAAGTTAATCCTCACCCAGCCACCCTGCATCAATGCAACACCAAAGCAATTCCTAGATAATTAATTTTGCAGTATTTTTGAACCAATATAATCCAGTAGAGCTATCAAACAAAAGAAGCACAAACCGGAATCTAATAACACTAGCGCATGGATTGCATGGCCAGACATTTCAAAGTGAGGATTCTTCTGCACGAAGCAGATGAACCATAAGCTAAATCTCCAAAAGGCCATCATAGAGGTTCAATTTAATCTTAGCCATATAAATGTGATGTATTTCCCCCAATACTTTCACGAGACACCAAGCTGCCAAGATAATGACGCAGATAGATATCTAGGGTTCAATATCCTAATGCACCCCCCCCAAAAAAAAAAAAAAAGATTATGCATCCAAAGATATAACTCATGATCAATTGGTAAAGCCAACCAACCTTCAGCCATCTATATTGTTCCGAGTACTTGTCATAATCTGCATAGGAGCCAAGCATGACAATATGGGCACTGGCCACTTCAAAAGAATAATAGAGATTTGAACTTGACCCGCTTTCCTCAAATGGCATCTTCCATCTGGCATTATATGATTCAAACCCATCCTTTAGCAATGGTATGCTCTCCTTTTCATGGTTCCCTTGTGTCACCATCCATGGTCTTGCGCTGGCAAGAGGCTCTACGAGCTTGCCAAACTTGTCCCATAGATGTTGCATATAATCAGCATATGAAAGGTCTCCTGGAAGCAGGTGGACATCATACTTGCATTGACCAATGTGATCTAATGTTGATTTAGTCCAACCAGTTTGGCCCAGATCCCCAGCTACAGCAAAAGTAATTGGTAACTGAGCTGGAGGCGTTTTAAACTGGAACTCAGGACCTTGTCCACCACACCGATAAAAGTACACTGTATTATCCTCCAAGGGCCCAATAACAGTGTGGTGTATCTTTCCTGAGCTATAAAAAAGATAACGATAAGAATTGCTCTCTCCTTCAGCTAAATTGTCATATCTCCCAGGTATTGTTCCATATTCTACCACTGAAGGTGATGAATCATCATCAGTTATCCAGCTAACTCTCATGTGCTTGTCTCCTGCCAATGAAATGTGCACCTGCACCAAACATTTCTACAACTTGAGCATCACAAGCAACAAGACGGTATTTTGCATGAAATTACAGAGTTCCATGTGATGACCAGAGAATATGCAAAATAAAAGCATATCAGCATGGCTCACGGAGTAACTGTCCAATGATTGCCAATAATTTACACGAATTGAAGGTGGCCGATTGAGTTTAAAGTGCATACAGCTTAACAAAACGTGAAGAAATTGTCAATTTAAATACAATCTATTTGAACATATATCATTCTAAGATTTGTGACTGGAACTTCGTTATGAAAATTTAGATAGTGAAATTCGTGCTACAAACCCAGTAAGTAAGGCTATTGAAAATCAAGGACTATGGTTTAATATCATCAATAGAGTCAATCACAAATGGATATATCTTGAACAGAAATATGGTTCAGATATCATTCTGACACCATTATTGGACAGCAATAAAAGATTTAGCAAATCATTCTTTTATTGATACACTGGAAAAAAAGATTTAGCAAATCATACTCTCAAAAAGAGTCAATCAAAATATCAAGCATAAAATAGAAACTAAGTCTTGACTTTGTCTCCGAAATTGCTCTAGATTATGTCAGGTCAAAATTGCCAATTGACCTACAAGTGATGCCCGCAAGTCTCTTAATAAAAGCTTTCAAACCGGATGAGTCATGTGTATAATGCGGCTAAGGTGACAGCCATAATGGCTCTTATCAAGATAGCAGCACAATCAGAATGATTCTATCCATTTAGAAATACTATCCCATGACCTTCTTAATGTCTAGAATCCAATATCAGCAGACTTGTTGGTAAATCTAAACTATTTTCTTTTTCAGTGATATCCCATTTAATTTGAAAAAGAAAAGTTAACGCTGAAAAAAGTCTTGAAGTTGGTCAAAGACAAGGGGAATGACGAAAAGATCACAGAAAAAGTCTCTCTTCTTCAAACTGATCTGTAAAGTTCTAGCATCACAGATACTTGTGCATACTTGTAGTATAATAACTCAAAAAGGCAAACAGAAAGATAAGTTCATGAACATATTGTCAGAAGCAAGATTCCCAGTGTCTCATACATGACATAATAATACAGAGTATTTTTGTCAAAGTCAAAGTACTAGATGACTAAGACTATATAAAATTGATATCCAATATGAGAAATATGGGGACAGAAAAGCAGATGACAACTTGCAATCCAACGCACCAAGAATCTCCGACAGAACCCCATCCATATTTATCCAGACAATGAAAATCTGCAAGAAAGTTGTTTCAAATGCAGAGACCAATCACATAAACTAAGCGGGGTAAAAACAGTTGCCCATCATCAACTTGCACACTACTACCATGTAATCACAAATGGAACAGGCAAAGCCATAAGCTCTCAAGCCTCAAGCCAACTAGTGCATTTGCTGACCTCCTCACTTCGCATAGACGAGTATGTGAAAAACAAATCTGAGTAATCATTGCATTGAGTCAAGGGCAGATCTGCACATAGACTGTGTCGCTAACTTTTTTCTTTTGTTTTCTTTTTTGGGCGGGGGGGTGTGGAAGGATTACGTCATTCTCATTGTGATTAAATCTCATTTCCGCCCCCGTGGGCTTACCAAAAAATATGCAACCCAGCACCCAGCAAAAAAACAGTAACAATAAGAGTGGGAAAATGCTTTTGAAACTCACTAGTTTGAATATTTATGGTAAATATGAGTACATCTGATTGACTAATTTTAAACATTGTTCATGATTTTCCCTTTGTTGAGCATACGAATATTCATACTACTTTATGTATCTGGCATGCATCCATACCAAATCAATTAATAATCAATCATAAGCAATAATACACAACAAAAAGGAAAGAAAATGGAAATTTTCTCCCTAAAGAAATACCTGAACCTCAATGGAATAACCAGTTCTGACTGGGAGAGGGGGGAAAAGGAAGAAAAAGATACACAACAACCAGGAGCAACTAAAAACCGAACCAAAGAGATCGAAGACTCTAAAACCGATCACATAGTTGAAAGACTGACAGAATCAAAGAGAAGCGACATATCACCTGCTGAGGGTAGGAGGCGGGCTTTGAATCCCATGGGAACTGAAGAGCTTTGCGAGGCAGCGGACGAACGTAATCGGCGGCGACGGTTGCAGAAACGACGACGAAGATGACAGTTAAAATCAGTTGTAGGGCCATCGGTAGTAGGCAAGTCCGCCGTAAGACGCCGGAAGAGCACGGCAAGTATGTCATCTTTCGTCTGCATCGACCATTATTGAATCGTCTTTTTAACTCTATCGCCTCGTCACTGTCACACTGTTCAGGGTTTTTGTCTGCAAATGCCAACAAACTTGAATATTAACGAAGAAGAAATCTTTTTTTTTACTTAGTAATCATCAAAGTAAAAACGAATTTGCTAATATGAGACCTTACTTCTTAAGTCATTAATATTTTTTTTCTTTGCCAGTTACTTCCAATGCTTACTTGATCCTTTTAAGTTTGTTTTGAGATTAAGGCTCAGCAAATCTAATAAATAGCAGAAAAACAAATCTAGCAAACAAAACGTGGGGCAAAAATATATAGTAGTAAATCAAAAAGTTAAAAATAATAATATGTAACTAATTGACTAATTTAAATAAATCAAAAGAGTTCATTAAGTTAGTTATTTATAATAAATATGTATTGTCTTTCTCACGATACTATTGTTAATGTGTCTATTAATTAGAATTATTATTTAATGAAATTTTTAAATATACAATTACTAAAAAGACTACTTTAAAAAAGTAGATAAAATAAATTTAGATATTATATTTAGAATTAAATTAAAAATTAAACTTATTTTTATATTAAGATATGAAAGCGTAAAATTTGTCAAAGAAAAAGATTTTTAGAAGTCAAAAGTTTCATCCAGCAAAAACGCAAAACTGTCGCCAGATTGATTTGTATTGCTTTTTGTGTTGATTGAGAGATTCGCTATTATGCTTATGCATTACCGGATCTCAGTTAAACGAAGAAGAAAATTAGTGTTGAGAAAAATTTCATGCATGCATATTTTATAAAGTTTACGTGTTAGATAATTAATTATATATATATATTAAAAAAGTAGTTATTTATTGTTAAAAATGTTTTAATAGAGGTGCTCAATATTATTTGCACTGCAAGCCTTAACTACACTTAATTTGTATTATATTATATGCATCATATATCCTATATTCTTTTTTCTCAATTCTCATATTTAATAGTAATATTTATGGACAAACAATAATCCTAATTAATACCTCTAATTTTAAACATAAGAGTTCGATAAGATTTTATTTTACTTTTAAATATAAGATTTCAATATATAATATCCATGAATTTATAATTTTTCTTTAAGGTATGCCTATAATCGTACATATAAAGAAGTTTTTCATAGTGAAACAATTCTACTTCATATGATTAAAAAGAGGGTAGTTTGAAAAAACCAAACCAATAACTAGTTTATCTAATTTTTTAAATAACTTTATAAATTAGTTATTTAATTTTATATGAGAAATGAAGGTTGAAGTTGCTGGTTAATATTTTTAAGTCATTATTATTAAAAGGCAGCATAAACAGAAAGGGCAACAGGTAAAGTAACACACAATGAGACCTTTATATATATGTGACAAGTTGCTTTAATAATTGAACCGAGACTTCTGT